GACGGATGGGGGGGGAACTGAGCGGGGCTGGCTGAGGGGGACAGCAGGGGGAAAGAATTAGTCGGCGGGGAGTGGGACTGACCCAGATATATTTGGTATTTTCTTAATTTTTTTCCCAGACAGAACCCTCAAATACCAGACTGTCCGGTTCAAAACCGGACACCTGGCAACCCTACCAGTTGAAAGCACAGAGCCAGTCCTGCGAACCCTAATTTGAAAGCTACTTGCATGAGCAAAGTACATAGGGTTTGCAAGGCTCATAGTTATACAAAACTAAAAAGCACAGAAGAAGAAAAAATTAAAAAAGCCATCACCAGTTGTGCTGCCTATATAAAATATATTGCACTATTATTTTAATTTAATTATATTTTTTAAACTAAGGATTTTTATTACAAATATCAGTGAATTCCTACAAATTGGTAGACCTTCATTTTTCCTGGGTTTTTTACTGACTCCTTAACCATACAAGATTGGTTTAATAATTCTGCAACCTGTGTGACAAGTGGAAATAATTAACGAACACATCAATGTTATTTGTGTTTTTCACCTTGCCTTGCAATATTTCATTTATTCTCTCACTGCAGTGGTTGTTTTGATTGATAACAATTGTTCTTTTTAAGTTCTCTTAATATTTTCTGGGGGAGGGAGGCTATTTTTTCATACTGATTAGTCTGTCAAAAGAAATCTTTGTTGTACAGCCAGGTTGGGGAGGTGGGGGCTTGCCTTTTTTTTTTTATAAGGAAGGCCTTTAGACAATTTGGATCTGCCTATATTGGATTTCAAAGTTTTGAGTATCATGTCAGATGGTTTATTATTCTTCATTATAGAAATAAAGAAAAATAAAGCTGTCCTTTACTCTTTGGATCCTTTATCTGTAAATATGCAGAACTTTCAAGACCACTTATTGCTTGATTTCATATTAACAAATCTCTGTATGGCACAATGCACAGTTTTTGCTCAGAAATGTGCAATTATATTTCCCTGTATGTTCTTGTCTTGTCTCCAGACTTAGAAAATTTAAAAAGAACATTCTTCACAAGATTTCCAAAAGTATTCCTCTCTCCAAATACATTAGAATTATGTAACAGAAAATAGGAAACTCGACATTCTACTATTGGTAGGGAAGTGGTTCCTACATATGCTATGCTTCCTGTGTATCAGGAAGAACTAGACCCAGCACTCCATGTTTTGGATACATGAAAACTGACTTCTCTTGCAATGGTGAGCCAATTTTTCTGATATTTAAATACATTGACATGAATAAGTTGATGAAGATTTCAATTATTATCACTAAAATTTTAAGAATTTCTCCACCCAGCCTGAAGATAGAGCTAGTGTTAGGTTAACACAGTGTTTCTCAACCTTTTCTTTATAAAGTACTCCTTTAAAAACATTATAAGTACCCCCAGTACCTACAGTTTTCAGACACACAAAATTGTTTCTACCATTGCAACACATTTGTTTAAACAACTTAATCGTAGCTGGGCAGGTGATGAAATGTTTGGGTGTAAAAAGTACAAAAATAATATAACACTGTAAAACTTATAACAAAAATTAAGTTTTCTCCAAATTTCAGTGGTGTTGATGTATCCCCCAGACTTTTCTCGAGTACCCCTAAGGGTACTCGTACCACTAGTTGAGAAACACTGGGATAACACATTCACTATTAACTGTTAATGTGCAAGATAACTAAAGAGTCAAAGATGCAATCACTTTGAATAAATCATGCATTATATTTCTGTGACATGCCAATAGTTATAACTTGAACAAGATCGTAATATACACATGTATGCATCCACATTTAATCTGTTAGTCTCTAAGGGTACATCTACATAGCAGGGCTAAACTTGAAATAAGCTGCACAACTTGAGCTACGCTAATTGAGTAGCTTAAGTTGAAATAGCTTATTCTGAATTTGTGTACGTCTACACAGCACTTATTTCAAAAGAGTGCACTCTTCCTATTACTTCCCTTTTTGCTCGTGCAATGAAGGTTACAGAAGTTGGAGTAAGCAGTCCTCCAGCAGGACATTATTTCAACATTATGTCAAAATAATTGCTTGTGTGTCGATGCAAACAATGTTATTTCCGAATAACATTCATTATTCTGAAATAACGCTGCTGTGTAAACATAGCCTAAAGTGCCACACAACTTCTCATCATTACAGCAGCATAACTAAAGAACAGATTTTTGCCCTTCTGTGAGCATTGGTTAAAGTGTTGGTAGAGGGAGTATTTTACTATCTGTCTTGTCATTATATGATTATATCACAAAATGGGATGTTCAGGCACTCACCCGTAAGGATGTTAAATAGCAACTAATCGAACAGTCTATGTATTTTGCCTATTGCTACACTTCAAAGGTGAAAGCTGCAAGGAGCCTGACACTGGGCTCCCCACAATGCTTCAAAGTGGCAGCACCACAGGGAACCCTGGGATCAGCTGGGGAGTCTCCAGCTGATTCCAGGCTCCATGCAGCGCTGCCACTTTGAAACGCTGCATACAGATTGGGGACACCCAGCTGGAACCCGGGGTCTGGCCCCAGGCTTCAAGCGGCACAGCCGCTTTGAAGTACCTGCTCCTCCCCACCACCCCAGCTGCCTCTTTCTGATAGAGGCACAAGCATGTCCACTATCTGATAAGCATACCGAATAGTCAACTAGTCCTTCACATCCCTACTCAACAGTAGGAAAGTGAATGTGTACCTGTGCACACAGTTAACCAATGAGCCGGGCTCATTGGTTAACCCTCATAGTTACACGTAGCCCCTCCTCTCCTTGCTGCCTCTGTTTCAGAGGCAATAGGGAGGAGGCGGGAGCTGATGCACATGGCTCTCTGTGCATGCTGCCTTCCACACACACACCCTGTTGCCTCCCACTGAGGCAGCAGCACATAGGGAGGGCAGGCAGGAGCCAATACACAGCATTAGCACCATGCTCACCTACCCGCTACGTACAGACGTGTAACCATTGGGGGGGACTCCGCGGTTACACGTTTACAAAAATACATGCATTGTAACCTCTCTATTCAACAGCCACTGTAACTGTCCATCTCTGCAGAATGCCAACTCCTCCTAGATCTCTCTGTGAGCATGTTTGCCAACATGTTCAGGGGGATTTCTTTTAAGCAGGGCTTTTAGCTAAGCAGGGATGCTGTGTTGATTGATGCTATTTTCACCTCTTCCTCTTTGGTAGCTGGCAGTATAGTCTCTAGGGCGCCACGGGACTCCTCGGTTTTGTCTCATTCGGGCTCTTTGGGCCAGCACAGCACAGCTGGTTTTCTGGAGCCTCGTCTGGGTTATGCAGCATCCCGCTGGCTAAGGGGATCGATATCTGGTCTATCTGTCTCAGGTCGGGTCTGAAGCGCCAGTGCACAGTTCGATAGCAGGAACTGCTGCAGGGAAGCGCCGGTGCAAGTTATAAACGCAACAAAGGGCGATGAGACCATCCGGCAACGCCTGGCCCCGGCTCCACGTTAGAGCCTCGCATCAGCGAAAGGGAGGTTTCCCAACAGCAGCCTGCCAGCAGGTGAACCCCAACCCTTGTCTCAAGCCGTAGCCCTGTAAGAGCTCCGGGGTTTCTACCCAGATCCGGGGGCGCGGGTCTTACCGTGCGAGAGCGCCCGCCGGGGAGACTCCGGGAAGAGAAGAAACGAAAGTGAAAGTCACCGCTTTGCCGCCAATAACACAGCTCGGACAACTCCCTGAAATGTCAGAGAAGGGGGGGTGAGCTCCTGCTGGCGGAGAGAACCAGAGCTCCGGGGAACCCGCCGGGGGTAACGCCCAGGAAAATAAAGTGCCAGACTTTGAAAAGAAGGAGTTTCTGCAAAGTACTGTTGAAGAGGGCAGGTTTGGTGGGGGGAATCCGGGCTCCAATGAAGAACTGGAGCTGCCTGGATTTAACCCTGCAAGTACTCAGTAGGATACACCTTGGAATGGAAGCACTGCTCACCATGGGTGCTGGAAACAGGAAGGATGGGGTCAGGGCGGGAGTATTGCATTGTGAGGCCCTGAGCTATGTCAAGTCATTAGAGACGCCACACCATACAAAATATTATTTTTACATTAAGGACATTGAATATATAAATACAAAAGCTTTATATTTGCAAATATAGTTCCAAAAACAGAATAGTAATCCAATAAAACACCGTTACACTACAAAAAAAGCCACAGATTTATTTCTACATTAGGGACTGCCAAGTGAATCTGTTTTGGATAGCCTCAGAGGGGTAGCCATTTTAGTCTGTAACTTTAAAAACAACAAGTAGTCCTGTGGCACTTTAGAGTATGTCTACAGTAAGGCTAAAGTCAAATTAAGCTACGCAACTTCAGCTATGTCAATTGTGTAACTTAAGTCAAATGAGCCTAATTCAGCTTTTGACGTTGTCTACACAGCAGGAAGTTGAAGGAAGAACAGTCTTCGTCTGACTTCCCTTACTCCTCATGAAATGAGGGTTACCACGAGTTGGAGTAAAAAGTCCTCCAGCTTGACATTATTTCAAAATAAAGGCTTGTAGTGAAGACTATGTCATTCCATGAAGACATGCTGCTGTATAGACATAACCTAAGGTGCCACAGGACTACTCTTATCTTGGATGATGACTTGATAAAGGTCCTTTATTTGCATAATAGTATGCAGGTTGTATTTTTCCAATAAATTGTTTTGTTTTGTTTTTATTGAAGGTTATGCTGAATTGCCAAATACAGGCAGTCCCCGACTTACGCGGATCTGACTTATGTCGGATCCGCAGTTACGAACAGGGCTTTTCTCGCCCCGGAGGACACGGACTGCGGGACCTTGACTTGATAAAGGTCCTTTATTTGCATAATAGTATGCAGGTTGTATTTTTCCAATAAATTGTTTTGTTTTGTTTTTATTGAAGGTTATGCTGAATTGCCAAATACAGGCAGTCCCCGACTTACGCGGATCTGACTTATGTCGGATCCGCAGTTACGAACAGGGCTTTTCTCGCCCCGGAGGACACGGACTGCGGGACCTTGCGGTCCCACCGCCCGTGTACTCCGGGGCGAGAAAAGCTGCTCCGCCGCCCCCCTGT